TGGAAAAGATGTCTCTCTCTCTCTCTCTCTCTCTCTCTCTCCACCAAGTTTCCTGTTGACTGTAGATCTGAAACAGTTTGTTGTTTCCTCCGTTCAAGATTCTGTTGTTGGACCCATCAAGAACTCCCTCTGCAATTTCGGGATTTTCTTAGTAAATAAACAAGAACAAGATTGTTTTATCTGTACACGATAAAAAGAGAGTGAACGATAGAGACAAAATCTAATTTATTTCACCTATACTTTTCTTCTCTTCATTTTTTTAAGTTATCTGTAATATTAACGTTTTTTGAGCTCAGCTGTTTTTGCTTTTTTTCTCTCTTCAGATAATGGCCGGGTGAACCTGAAGAAGTTTCACTCATATGGTCAGCATAGTTGGAGTTATGTGGTCATAGTTTGAACTAATTTATTTAAATTGTTCTAAATAACTGAAATCCTGTGGAACTGGACGAAATTAAATCCCTATTATTATATACGATGGTTGAGAAGTATACTTTGATTTTTGAATACTTTGGTTCTTAACAGTTTACCCACTCGACTCCTGGTGCCAGACATACTCACCAGCAGTAGGTACACCAGACCAATGTAGTGACTCACAGTGTGGTGGTGTGCCGCAGACTGCCAGGGTTCTGCTGCTGCTGCTGCTGCTGCTCGGCCTCACATCTCTTCAGGAGAACATAGGCGCCTCTTCATTGTGATTTTTTGTTCATATTAGTTTATTATTTTCTCTTAATAATGGTTGGGGTCACCATTAACAAACCCTTTAATGACTCTCTCTCTCTCTCTCTCTCTCTTTATACATGTTCGATCCCCGGGCAGGGTGAACTATGGGAAAGTTTCTTTACGCCATTTGCCTCTGTCTACCCAGCAGTAATTGGGGACCTGGATGTTAATCGATTTGTGGATCGTATTCCGGGGTAATGGTTAGCCAGTAGAGTTGGTAAGTTGTCCGGTCTTCTCGGACTATTCCTTGACACTGGGTCATCCAGCTCGTTAACTTAGAGTGTGGCTGCTGTGTTGGCGACAGCTTCTACATCTAGGTGGCCCTTGGGCCAGTCATCCTCGTTACACGAGGGCCAACCATTATATATATATATATATATATATATATATATATATATATATATATATATATATATATATATATATATATATATATATATATATATACTGTATACTGAAAGGCCTGATATTTACTCTCATGGGTCAGGGTGACTCATTGCGTCAAGACTTTATCCATTTAACAAAGAACAAAACTTTTTAAACATTTTTTTTCCGTGAATTGTTCCAGGTGTTTGTTTATATGGATGGATCATGCTCTTACAGAAGATCAAATAAGATGAAATGATAACAGACATCATGATAATAGCAGATTTCAAAATGTTTTGAAGAAAAAAGAACACCAGTTTTTAGTGTGTGGGCTGGACGACAAGTTGAGCCTAAATAAGGAGACAACCCCTAACGAGATGGCAGGTCAACAAACAATAATTAAATCAATAGTGAATGTGCAGGAAGGCTGCTGAGTCACTCCCGTCCACACGGTGTTCCTGGAACCACCGGCGTCGAGGGAGAGCTGGAGAGCTTCTGACACCCAGCTGGGATTTCCAGGGCACTGGAAGTTGCAGTGTTGGGCCTCGAGCTGCCTGTCTCACATGAAGTCCCCCCGGCCGCCTGTCTCACGAGTCCCCGGCTGCCTGTCTCCAGTCTCCCCTCCGGCGCCTGTCTCACATGAAGTCCCCCCTGGCTGCCTGTCTCACATGAAGTCCCCCGGCTGCCTGTCTCACATGAAGTCCCCCCCGGCCGCCTGTCTCACAGTCCCCCCCCTGGACCGCCTGCCTGTCTCCATGAAGTCCCCCCCGGCTGCCTGTCTCACATGAAGCTGCCTGTCTCTCAGGTCCCCCCCGGCTGCCTGTCTCACATGAAGTCCCCCAGCTGCCTGTCTCTCATGAACATGAGTGCCGCCTCTCAGTTCCCCCCCTGCCCCGGCTCACATGAAGTCCCCTTCCCATGCCTGTCTCACATGAAGTCCCCCCGGCCCCCCCCCCCGGCTGCCTGTCTCACATGAAGTCCCCCCAGCTGCCTGTCTCACATGATCCCCCAGCCGCCTGTCAAGTCCCCCACCGCCTGTCCCACTCACTGCATGAAGTCCCCCCAGCTGCCTGTCTCACATGAAGTCCGCCTGTCTCCCCCCCGGCTGCCTGTCTCACATGAAGTCCCCCAGCTGCCTGTCCTGTAGCCGCCTGCCCCCCTGCCCCTCCGAAGTCCCCCCAGCCGCCTGCCTCTCTCACACTGTCTCACATGAAGTCCCCTGCCTCCTCTCCACACATGAGAAGTCCCCCCTCTCTCCCGTGAAGTCCCCCAGCCGCCTGCATGGAGGTCCTCCCTCCCCCCCGGCTGCTGGTGAGGGTCTCCACCCCTATCAATGTGACAGTGTTGGAGAGGCAATCACACACACACACACAGGGAGAGAGTAGAAATATTCGCCAGACTAAGCCTTAAATGACAACAAAAGTTTTTATTGTAATAGTTTAATGGGGACTTGTTCACTGAAGATTAAGTTTACTCTCTTGACGTAATTAAACTTAAATAATTTTGGTAAGGTTGGGTTAAGTTTGTTTAGCTTAAGTTAAGTTTGTTTAGCTTAGGTTAAGTTTGTTTAAGTTAGTTTAAGTTTGTTTAGGTTAGGTTATGTTAGGTTAGGTTAGGTGAGGTAGTGACGACTGTTAATCATGCATATTTTGCATTAGTATTATCTTCATGATCGTTTCTATTTTTCAGAATATTTGAATTTTCGATATCAAAGGATGACAGACCGTACAGTAGGTATCATGGCTCTTCATGTGTCATCAGTCATCACAGGTAACATCTTGATGATTATCTTAAAATATAGTATACAGGTACAGAATCTGTTGTATTCTTAAGATGTTCTACATTGGTGTTGGGTGTACAGCACAGGGGTAACTAACTCACTCACTATTGTGTTCGAGTCCTATTCCGAGACGCACGTGGGAAGCGTCAGTGTGACCCTCACTACCAAACATCACAGGTTTCCTGCTGTACTAGCACTGGACTTTATAATAAAGTTCAAAATAGACTAACAACAACAGGCTTATCTCCCAAACGGCTAACAAGCTGATCAGCGGTGAAAGAGTAAATTATAAATTATATTTCCAAGTATTCCTAAGTCTCCGTAAAATCACAAAGAAAATCTTGTTTTCTGTTAGCTCTTGTAAAACTAAGATTTTCCATCAATCCCGTTTTCTGTAACCAGTAACCAAACTTGAATATGTTTAAGTCAAGTGGTGTATGTTGCTTTAGGGACACGTACATGACCATGACGGAATGACAAGAATTATTGCCTCATATCAAACAGCCTGAGAGAAAAATGTTCTTCTAAACTAAGGTGTGACTCTCGTAATGCGCCGCCGCCAGGCACCTACTCGCTGTTCTGTGTACCAACACCCGTGACAGCCTCCACACGGTTCTTAAGACTGGCTGACCTTGAGTTGCTGGTGTCCCTGAAGGTTTAGACTCATGCAAGAACTTTAGGACTGTATTGTTAGAGTGGGCTGAGGAACACCTTACTTGTGAATGATCCACACACGGTCTTATCTGCCATGTCTGGTATAACAATTAAAAAAAAAGCTTCTGTGCTCCCTACATTATCTCTTCTATTAACTATTACCTTCTGTCTTCCTATTAATCGTCCTATTTTGTATTTTCTTCACCCAAACTTTGCTTCTTCTGTCTTCAATACTTTATCTACGTCATCATCCTCATTTCTCATTTCGTTACTGTATACTTAACTTATTTACCTTATTCACCTGTCACCTCTTTAATTAACAGTGTTGTATATTAAGCTGTTGTTTGGTGTATCAGGTGACTTAGTACACGGGATTAAAAACCTCAGTTGTTGATGTACAGTAACACGTGTAAACAACATAGAATTTTCTCTAATAAACAATAATCTGTAGACTTTAATATTGTCCCTCTTTCCCACAACGATAAATTAAAAAAAAATATATGTGTATAATCCTAAAACCCTCCGACTGAAAAGGAAAAAAGATGATTCATATATATCAAGGTGGCTCATGTGTACTACCTGCCTAGTCTACAGCACTTGGAACTCAAGTTTGTGTTAAGGGGTACCACAGGAGGAGACTGTCTATAAATGTCAAAACTAACTCATTAACATTTGGACATTATTTCCGTAGTTTTATGGATGTTGTTCATAACACTTTTCCCTCATGAACGAGAGATTTTAAATAGTTGTCACTATGTGTGCAGAAGGTAGAGACTGCGTTACGAGTTTAGTCTTTTCTGTTTATATCTGGTATTAGTCATGTATGTTACTGTCTCTTTCTTGGAGAAAAAAATATAATTATATCCCGTTGACTTTTTCCTGTGTGTATAGCATTTGCCGAGGAAAAAAACACGGTACTGCCCATCACAAGTGGTTCAATCCTCCTACCATAATAAACTATTGGCTGATCTGACTCAAGAGGGTACAATCCTTTCCCTGATCCCTTAATCTTTGATCTTAAAGTCATCTCATCCTGGAAAGTGTCTATCCAAGCCATATGACCCTTCGGTCGTTGAACCTCCAGCTCTTGATTCAATATTTCCTCATCCATCAAGCCATGACCGTATAAACCCTTATCCTGTAACGAGAAGATTCTTAATTGTGAGGCCAAAGTGTTTATGAAACATCTGACGTCACAGCTCTCCTTCCTACACCCAATGATTACATTTCAATAGTGTTTATGTTATGACCGCTGACCCTACAAGCAACTACTGTACAGACAACTATAAGTTCAACAAAGTCTTAATACTGCTATCCCTCCTCCTACTACTCCCCCTCGGAGTCCCAACACACAGTCCTTGAACTTGCCTCCTTGTGTCTACACCTCTCCCTCTAACCTTGTGGCGCTCCTCTGGGTGCTGACGCCGCTGGTGAGTTGGCAGTGTATATATATATATGTCAGGGAACACCCGGCACCTGCGTCAGTAGTCTGAGGGAGACGCTGGTGCTCACTCAGCTCTACAGAAATGGTAAGTTACCTGTTGTTGTGAAGGAATTGCCACGAATTACCTTTGTTGGCAAGAATGACAAATCGCTATTACGAACAAGACTTTGACAAGTTATCATTGTTGGCAGGACTCTGACATGTTACTATTGTTGGCAAGACCTTTGAAAATTTATCATGATGGCAAGACCTAGAGCATGTTACTGTTGTTGGAAGGACTTATAACTAGCCGCCACTAAGGCAGGACGCGTACAGTATAAGTTGTCAGTGTTGTCAGGAGGTGCAGCTACACTGTAACAAGACACACTTAATTTATTCTTTGTAGAGATAAACTACAAGAATATAAACACCTTGATGTAATTACTACTGGGTTTAGTTGTCATGCTAAACTTCCCATCACACGTATAACACTTGTTTACAGACACACTTAAAACACCACGAATTAGCACGAATTAATAAACAAACTTATGTCAGACACTTGTAATATTATGCCTCCATAAATCCCTGCCAGTGTTGACGATCTCCTACTTGTTGTTCTCCACAGAAACCACACATCATTATCCTCCTGGCTTCGGCCGTCCTCCTGGTCTCCGTGACCGGTAGACGTCATGCAGGTGGTAAGTAGAGCAACTGGAGATGGATAAAGAAGTAGATATATATGACAGTAGATAACTAATTGGGAATCAAGGGAGGGTAGATATATGATGGTGGAAGATCAAAACAAACTATCTATATAAACACGAGGATTCTTTGGTTAGTTATTAAGAGAATATTTCCTTTTTTTGCAGGAGGTGGCGGTGGTGGTGGTGGTGGTGGTGCCATTGAAACAGGTGGAGGAGGGAATCATGATGGGAAAGGAGGTGGTGCAGGTTTTGGGCTAGGGGGTGGAGGAGGTGGAGGTGGATTTGGATTTGGAGGTGGATCTGGATCTGGTGGAGGTTTTGGATTTGGAGGAGGAGGAGGTAATTCTGGACTTGGAGGAGGTGGTGGAATTGGGGGAGGAGGAGGAGGAGGAGGAGGAGGTGGACTTGGAGGAGGAGGAGGTGGTGGTGGACTTGGAGGATGGGTGGACTGAGGGAGGATTAAGTGGACTTGGAGGAGGAGGTGGTGGTGGTGGAAGGAGGAGGAGGAGGTGGAGGAGGAGGAGGAGGTGGAATTGGAGGAGGAGGAGGAGGAGGAGGAGGAGGTGGACTTGGAGGAGGAGGTGGTGGTGGTGGACTTGGAGGATTAGGTGGACTAATTGGAGGATTAAGTGGACTTGGAGGAGGAGGTGGTGGTGGAAAAGGAGGAGGAGGAGGTGGAGGTGGAGGTGGAGGGGAGGAGGAGGAGGAGGAGGTGGAGGGAGGAGGAGGTGGAATTGGAGGAGGAGGAGGTGGAATTGGAGGAGGAGGGAGGTGGAATTGGAGGAGGAGGAGGTGGAATGGAGGAGGAGCGGGAGGCGATGGAAAAGGAGGTGGAGGAGGAGGTGGAGGAGGCGGTGGAAAAGGAGGAGGTGGAATCGGAGGGGGTGGTGGTACTGGAGGAGGTGGTGGTCATCACGGTGGCGGTGGCGGGGGCGGTGGAGGGAGGCGGAGGAATCGGCGGCGGAGGGAGGTTCTGGAGGCGGCACTGGAGGAGGTTCTGGAGGTGGCACTGGCGGTGGAGGCGGAGGAGGTAGGAGGAGGCTGGAGGACTGGAGGTGGAGGTTCGGCGGCGGAGGCCATCATGGAGGTGGTGGAGGTCATCACGAGGAGGTGGAGGCATCATGGAGGGTGGAGGTCATCACGTGGAGGTCACGGCGGCGGAGGTCACCATGGAGGCGGAGGAGGAGGTTCTGGGGGTGGCACTGGAGGCTGGAGGCGGCGGGGAGGAGGGGGGTGGAGGGCTGGAGGTGGGGAGGTTCTGGAGGCGGTGGAGGTCGGAGGAGGTTGGAGGCCTGGCGGGAGGCACTGGAGGAGGTGGAGGCAGGTCTGGAGGAGGTGGTTCTGGAGGTTCTGGAGAGGAGGTTCTGGAGGCGGAGGAGAATCGGCGGCGGAGGAGGTTCTGGAGGCGGCGGAGGAATCGGCAGCTGGAGGCGGCGGAGGGCGGTGGAGGAGGTTCTGGAGGGGCACTGGAGGAGGTTCTGGAGGCGGCAGGGGGCGGCGGAGGAATCGGCGGCTGGATGGTCGGCGGGGAGGTTGGAGGCTGGAGGAGGTTCGGAGGTGGAGGAGGTTCTGGAGGCGGCGGAGGAATCGGCGGTGGAGGTCAGGTTGGAGGAGGTTCTGGAGGCGGGGAGGAGGTTCTGGAGGCGGCGGAGGATGAGGAGGTTCTGGAGGAGGCAGGCTGGAGGCGACGGAAGGACTCGGCGGTGGAGGAGGTTCTGGAGGTGGCACTGGAGGAGGTTCTGGAGGCGGCGGAGGATTTGGAGGAGGCAGCGGTGGCGGATTTGGAGGCGGCGGTGGAGGCGGTAAAGGCGACGGAGGTGGCGGTGGAGGATTTGGAGGAGGCATTGGAGGCGGCGGAGGTGGCGGAGGAGGATTTGGCGGCGGTTTTGGCAGTAAGTAATGATCTCTGAGAACCTTCAAACCTTCCATTAATTAGTCCTACAAAAATCTTACCTGAGACATTTCACTTAAACTGGAAATATTTTGTTTCCAGCTTGTAGAGAAAACCTTACCATAGATACTGAGTATTTTCCAGAGTTGTGTTGTAATATTAAAAGATTCGAAGTACAGGTGTGATGTTACCCCTACTGTGTCTTCCCTTACTTATGTTTAGGAATGTTCTTTCATGTATTATTATATAAATACCGGCAATAACAAGTACTAGGAAACAGCCCTATCAATCAGTTCCCTAAACATAGCCAAACGAGAAGTGCCACGGTGCCACATGAGCAAGGGAGGCACGGTAGGGGGTAACAGCACACCTGGTGACGACTTTACATCCAGGTAGATCATTAATACCTGTGCTTACATTACAGGTACTCGGGGGTAAAGGAGACCATCACCTCCATCATCAACAAATAAAGATGTTGTCTCATAATAAATGTATATCATGATGTCTGTTTAACCTCCGTCACTTGTGGCTCAAACGACAGCATCACACTGACGGTCACTCACTGTCTGTAGTGACCCGTGAAATATTAATGTTTTCTCGTGTGTTATGTTCCTGCCTAAACTATACACATGCTGAATCATTGTAAGCTTGTATGATGATTATACTGAATAAATATATCCATCTATTTCCTATGATAATATTTATCCTCGTCGCTTAGCCGAATAATGCAACAAATTTACGTTAATATTCAGAGGTGTACACACACACACACACACACACACACACACACACACACAAGTATCTCCTCTGGGTCCGATGTGTTTGGAAAGTAACACAATGTACAGCAGTTTCGGTTCAATTGTCAAAGATTCACAAATAGCGATCAGAACTGTTCGTCCATTGGGTCATATTATATCGACGGAAAAAGGGCCAGATTGTGTTGTGTGTGTGTTTACAGTCAATACTTATTTGTTTTGTCCCATTGGCTTTATAAATATATATCCCTTAAACAGCGTCTATTTATTAATTAATATTGACAATGGATATAAAAAGCAGTAGAGTAATCAACACCATGACAACTTACCGAGTATGTGAAGAAAGTTTTTCTTCTCTGTTATTGTTAATGGAGAACTATATCACTGATTGTTGTGTGTCCATCTGTACTTACTTTTTATATCTCAATAAAGGCAAAACAGAAGAAATGTAGAATTCCAACCTACAATAAAGCACAGACATATTGATGGTTTGATAAAATATACTTTTTTTATTGTATACATGAGATATTATTGACTTATATATTGACATTCACATTATTATGAATTTTGGTAAGAAAGCAGAAAAAATATATTGTTCTGGATAATTCCACTGGTTGGGTAAAACTTATATGGCCAGACCACAGCCGAGGCAGCCAGCACCCTCTGCTTGTTGTACCAGTTGTTTTCAGTCCTTTATATTATATTATATTATATTATATTATATTATATTATATTATATTATATTGTTATGCCGAGGCATAATTTCGTATTATAATTTTGTAAACCAGGTGTTTTGACTATTTCCTAACCCATGCAGCAGTTATTTTGGCAAATTTAGTGAAATTTTCGTGCATATATTGATGTATTAATTATGTAAGAATATTCTAGCTTGTATTACTTCATTTTTGTTTTTATTTACTTCTTATTGTAAGTTTACTGAAGATCATTCAAGAATTCTCCAGGCGTGTCGCGAGCCGACCTCCCGTGTCTGGACATCGCTAGAATGCTCTCGCGTCTGACCCTATCTACTGTAAACGGGAGCGGGCTGCCTAGGAGTTAGCTGCTCACCTCTGTTCCTAGTGTAAAGACTAAGCCTAGCAGAACAACTGAAGACAATTGTTGTGCAAGTATTGTGGAACTATTTTGATTAATATAAAGTGAGAAGACTAAGGAATTGTACACTGGTAGTGTGCTGACTACATATTTGAAGTGCGGAGTTAAGTTGTGAAGACATTACCTGTTAACAATGTTGTGAAGAATTACTGTTTTTTATAGAAGACTACAGTGCACAAGTGTGTTTCTGTGACCTGGAGGAAATCTACCTGTCTGTTGTTTGTCTGTACACTGATACCGATCGTCGGGAAGTTACCGGAGACTGGCGGGACAGCCAGAGGTAATTCGACAACACATGTGAGATATCTACTACTTCTGTACATACGACCCTGGCCGCTGGTAACCAGTGGTGGAAGCTGGGCAAGCGGTGAAAGGAGGGTCGAAACAATATTTTGTGTTATCTGTTAAAGTTCTAAACGTTCGTAGCGCCATCAGACCTGTACACTCATCAAGACAGCAGATTAAGGAAAACAAAGATTACCGAACTGGTCTGAGATTATTTTTAGGTTATATCCAAGTGCCAAGTTTAACAGATACCCATTTTTGTTTAAAGCTATCCCGTGTACAGCACAGTCAAGTTATCCCGTGTACAGCACAGTCAAGTTATCCCGTGGACAGCACAGTCAAGTTATCCCGTGTACAGCACAGTCAAGTTATCCCGTGGACAGCGCAGTCAAGTTATACCGTGTACAGCGCAGTCAAGTTATACCGTGTACAGCACAGTATACCGTGTACAGCACAGTCAAGTTATCCCGTGTACAGCACAGTCAAGTTATCCCGTGGACAGCACAGTCAAGTTATCCCGTGTACAGCACAGTCAAGTTATCCCGTGGACAGCGCAGTCAAGTTATACCGTGTACAGCGCAGTCAAGTTATACCGTGTACAGCACAGTCAAGTTATCCCGTGTACAGCACAGTCAAGTTATCCCGTGTACACAGCACAGTCAAGGTTAGCCTACCGCGTACAGTACAGTCAAGTTATGCCGTGTACAGCACAGTCGGTTATACCGTGTACAGCTCGGTCAGGATTATACCGTGTACCTTTCCAGTCAAGTTATCCGTGTACAGCACAGTCAAGTTATACCATGTACAGCACAGTCAAGTTATCCCGTGTACAGCACAGTCAAGTTATACCATGTACAGCACAGTTAGTTATCTCGTGTACAGCACAGTCCAGTCACACCGTGTACAGCACAGTCAAGTTATACCTTGTACAGCACAGTCAAGTTATACCGTGTACAGCACAGTCAAGTTATACCGTGTACAGCACAGTCAAGTTATACCGTGTACAGCACAGTCAATTTATACTGCGTACAGTACAGTCAAGTTATGCCGTGTACAGCACAGTCAAGCTATACCGTGTACAGCACAGTCAAGTTATAACATGTACAGCACAGTCAAGTTATCCCATGCATAGCACAGTCAAGTTATCCCGTGTACAGTACAGTCAGGTATAAGTCAATTGTAATGGCCCCTGTCTCAGCAACAGAAGTATTATATAAATGGGTTATTTACATCTGATTTATATTCAGATTCATCCCCTGTAACTTTCCACTGGCTATGAGGTGACATGTTCAATGCACGTGATAAGGTGTGCCCGTGGGAAGATGCGTCATACTATGCTGAGTAAAGGCATAACCAACCAGCTCATTGGTGCAGCAACGGTGGTGACGTCAGTGTTTTGTGAAACAAGAAAAACAAAAAACAGTGACGTGTTACAAACAATACCCGAGTGTTAAGAATATCCCTTATTGAGACGATATTTAGTGAGTGTTTCTCATTCTGTCGCCCAAAGGAAGGTGCAGAATTATTCCAATAACCGCAAGTGAGTTATTGTAGAATTACCATACAGTTAATTAGTGATACCCCTGTTAACGACAAGTGAGGGAGGTCAGGAAAGCGTCTGTCAGCACCTGACCATTCTGTGGAAGGTATTCCTCTGTCGTGAAGTGGATTCACCCGGCGTTCGTCATGCAGCGCGCCCCGACTCATTGTGGGAGGTAAGAGTGCGGTACCCACCCACCACACCCCACCTGGAACCATTTGTGGTTTCACGATCATTGATTGCAGTATTTCCTGTGTCATCAGACAGTCCCCCATATATACGGGATTGCAGAAGATTTGACATTCAGTGGAGGCGACATCGTATCAGCGCATAGCCTACAGTGGGAGGGACGAGTGCGGTTACCCACCCTCCACCCCCGACCTGGAACCATCTGTGGATCGCGTTTTCTGTACTGACGCCATAACTCCTGTATTAGGTATTTAAAGAGTAAAATACTTTATATACAGTGAAACTCTATAACTTCTCAAGTGGTTGTTACAACTAACAGTCATCTCACCATATACACAGTTGGTAAAGGTAGAGGAATTATGTTCTCCCCATTACTGCGGCATACTGGTTTAGAAAAAAAATAAAATATATATATATATATATATATATATATATAACGTAAGTGTAAATATGCAATAGCAATCAAAGATATTGTTATATGTGTTACATTTACTACTACAGGAAGATGAATTGTTACATATGCTACATGTTGAGTTTATGTCCATAACCAATACCGAGTTATTAAAAGTTGCTGAATTATGGCAACAATCCTGTGAGCTGAAGTGAACATTACTTTCTGCAAATGATTCGTTCACTGCCCAGGGTGTGACAGGACGTCTCTGCAGTTGTTGTGACTACTCATCAATCAACATCCTGTCAACAAAATTCTTTCGTATGGCGTGAATAACCCCCAGTTACCAGCACCTTAGGACCCCACCCTTGTGATGACAAATCTCCTGTCTGAGAGATGGTCTCAGCATTCTGAGGTATGGTGTGGTGGATGACCTAGTGTAACCAGGAGCGGTAGTTTGCTGTACTCATGATTTTCGTGAACATTGACCCAGTCACCTGTATTTCTGCATTTTGTTTTGTATGAAGTGTTGGTGAGTAACATTGTATGAGTGTTGGTGAGTAACATTGTATGAGTGTTGGTGAGTAACATTGTATGAGTGTTGGTGAGTAACACTGCATGAGTGTTGGTGAGTAACATTGTATGAGTGTTGGTGAGTAACACTGTATGAGTGTTGGTGAGTCATTACAGACAGTGAGTGAGTAACCTTCACCCGTCAATATTGTCTCTGGTGACAAGTTTGAGCCACAAGTGACGGAAGTTAAACAAACATATAATGAGACAACATCTTTATTTGTTGATGATGGAGGTGATGGTCTCCTTTACCCACGAGCACCTGTAATGTAAACACAGGTATTAGTATAAACATTAACACCAGGTGAGTGACAGAGGTTGGGTGTAAACGGGACTGCGCAGTATAGGACAATGGGCCCACTGCAGTTTCCTCCATTCTTATGTTCTTAATACAACAACACGGTACTGGAGTGTGTGTGTGGCAAATACTCCAAGCGAAATAGTTGAACTTGTGCCGTTATTTCTTCGTTTAGAATTAGTTATATTGACAGGTGAAATAACATCTTCATATAGACAGATATAAAGGGGGAATGGGATATGTTTTGGTGAAGATTATCAATAAATATTTGTCTACCTGTACAGTTTTAGGGAATTGTTTACACCTGGGAAATATTAAGGTGATCAAGACTCACCTCCGAATATTGCTCCTGAACCTCCGCCGTGATGATCGCTTCCACCACCACCACCACCATGATGACCGCCTCCACCATCACTACCACCACCACCATGATGACCGCCTCCGCCATTATGGTCTTCTCCTCCACCACCGAAGACACCTCCACCACCACTACTACCTCCGCCACCATGATGATCGTGACCTCCTCCACCGTGGTGATGACCTCCGCCTCCAAAGAGACCTGCAGGTGTGGAAAAATTTATCAAACTCACCAACACATCTGCCGCCACAGGTGTCAAAGGCCTCCTAGATGACTCATGTTTCAACCAGGTCTTCAAACAAGGTAACTATCTAAGCTTCCTCTTCATAAAAGATTCAATGATACTTTTATATATTTATTTATTTGTATTGACATATTTGGGTGAAGGAAAAAGATCTGCCATTGCTAACTGAATAATTAGGCATAATTGTCATCCTATACAAAATACAAAGGAATTCCGTATACATAATGTCTGTATAGAAATATTTGTAATAATTCCATATTTCGTGTTAAACTCCTATTTTTTTAATATTACAATAAACAGTGTATACTCTGCCTATCACCTACACTACACTACGCTACACTACACTACACTACTGTACACTACACTACACTACGCTACACTACACTACACTACACTACACTACACTACACTACACTACACTACTCTTTAGGCTCATAAACTTTTTAATTTTATCTTCTCTTTACTATCTCCCTTCATATCCTCCCTTACTCATCATCTACCGTCCATACATCTCCAGCTGCTCTACTCACCGCCTGGAAGACGGTCGCCGGTCACGGAGACCAGGAGGACGGCCGAGGCCAGGAGACCGATGATGAAAGGTTTCTGTGGAGAATAACAAGTAAGAGAACGTCAACACTGGCAGGAGCTACACTTACACTGTCATAACTTGTTGACACTTTATACTAAACAACGTCACGGGAGGAAAAATGATTTAGAGAAATAGTCTCTTCAAAACCTATATTTAACATTTAATAAATTTGATCTTAATTCTGAGTTAAAATTGTGTGATTAGGTTATATTAATTGTCGTAAACTCACTTAAAAAGAATAAATACAAACAAAGAATAGAACTAAATGTTAGGCTATATTATTTCATCAGTAATAAACTAGTAAATTTTCACCAATATAAAGTTCAGGCGAAATATATAACACAATTCATTACTCAAGTTAACACCGGCAACTCACCATGACTGCCGGACTGATGTTGCGTCTCCGCTAAGGTGCCGCGATGACTACTGATGCTGGTACCGCTGGCCGCCGGTATATATACTGCCAACTGAGCCACGACGTCAGCGCAACAGTAAACAGTCTTAAGGTTAATGGGGAGGGTGAGACTGACGGAAGGGTGGAGGGGGGATGTAAGCATAGGGGGTGTGGAGGAGGTGAGAGATGTAGACACTGGGAGGGAGGAGAGGTGTGGAGGGAGACCGAAATTGACCTTGAGGTATACCACGAACTGCATACCACATGATAACACTCGGACGGAAGAAGACGTAATGGAGAAGGAATCAATGACGGAGAGAAGTAAAACTGTAAAAGAGAGAGAAGAGAAGAGGGAAAATAAATAAAGCAGCGATTGAAAAGCCCCACAAAGGAAGAGAAAATAGAAAATAACAGAAGTAAAAGAATAAGGAGAGTGGAAAAGATGAACAGTGACAAGTACGGTGTTGGGTAAGAGCCTATTGTTGCCATCAATTGATAAAAGGTTATTAACATGGCCATCGGTGGATAAACGGTTAACAACATGGCCATCGGTGGATAAAAGGTTAACAACATGGCCATCGGTGGATAAACGGTTAACAACATGGCCATCGGTGGATAAAAGGTTAACAACATGGCCATCGGTGGATAAAAGGTTAACAACATGGCCATCGGTGGATAACAGGTTAACAAATATGGCCATCGGTGGATAAAAGGTTAACAACATGACCATCGGTAGGATAAGAGGTTAACATGGCCATCGGTGGATAACAGGTTAACAACATGGCCATCGGTGGATAAAAGGTTAACAACATGGCCATCGGTGGATAAACGATAACAAATATGGGCCACGGATAAAAGGTTAACAACATGGCCATCGCAGGATAGCAGTTAACAACATGGCCATCGGTGGATAACAGGTTAACAACATGGCCATCGGTGATAAAAGGTTAACAACATGGCCATCGTAGGATAAAGGCAACAACATGGCCATCGGTGATGTTAACAACATGGCCATCGGTGGATAAAAAGTTAACAACATAGCCATATCGGTGATGTGTTATTAACAACATGGCCATCGGTGATGTTAACAACATGGCCATATCGGTGATAAAAGGTTAACAACATGGCCATCGGTGGGTAAAAGGTTAACAAACATGGCCATCGGTGGGCAAAAGGCTAACAACATGGCCATATCGGTGGATAAAAAGTTAACAACATATTATCGGTGGATAAAAGTTAACAATATGGCCATCGGTGATGTGTAACAACATGGCCATCGGTGCGTGTTAACAACATACATCGGTGGCAAGGCTAACAACATGGCCATCGGTGGATAAAAGTTAACATGGCCATATGTGGATAAAAGGTTAACAACATGGCCATCGGTGGGTAAAAGGTTAACAACATGGCCATCGGTGGGTAAAAGGTTAACATGGCCATCGGTAGATAAAAGGTTAACAACATGGCCATCGGTAGATAAAAGGTTAACAACATGGCCATCGGTGGATAAAAAGTTAACAACATGGCCGTTAATGGATGTATTAGTTAGCCTTTGCCTCTCTCCTCGTTTTCATAAGTTCTTCAATAAGATTTTTTACCTTCCATTGCCATCAACCTTGTATAGTCCCTCAGTTTATTTTACATATCTAACTCTCCTCTCTATTATCCTTCATATACACTAATTTTATCATATTTTATTATACATTTCTACGATTCTCCTGTTTCTCTTCTTTTGCGGTATTCTCTTTTATATATACGTATACGTCTATATGTCTATAACTAAACATTAACCCCTATTGGTTCTTCTCTTATTTTCCATCTAGTGTCGTTTATTCCTCTTTGATTTTGTTAAATTTCGTTGATTCCTTCTAACAATCTATTACCGTTTTTTTATTTTCTTATTTTCCCTTTATTTTTGTTTTCCTCTTTGTATCTCCCCAAATTTGTAGGGTTTTTATTTTTTTTCTAGATATTTCTTTACGCCCTCCTCCTCTTCTCTCCAACCTTGTCCTACTTGGCTCTTCCACAGTCAGGTAATGTCCTCTCCACAACTCTCACCCGTCTTCCTCCTCCTCGCTCTCTGTGTAAACAACTCCCCCTCTCTTCCTACTCTCTCCTTGTGTTTATAATTACCCATTAACCTTATAGATTGTTTGCTGTTTTGATGACGTCATAATTGAGGTGTTAGTATATATACCGGTAGCCACCAGTAACAACTACCAGTAGTCACCGCGGTAACTTCGTGGCGACTCAGGACTCCTTGCTCAGTCTGGCAGTCATGGTAAGTCACCTATGTTAACTTGAGTTTGAGTTGTGTCCACATTGTATATATTTCAGCTGTACTGGTGTTGAAGTATTGCTAGTTTATGGCCGATTACACTATGACTACTGATATATTGTTATATTCGTTATACTGTATATATCCTTATGAACTACAAGTAGGTAATTTATTAATTTAAAGATAATATCGTAGCCTTTCATTTACACCTGAATTACACAAAAGAAATATCAGATAAAATGTTTTTCCTCCCGTGACATTGTTCAGTATAAAGTGTCAACAAGTTATGACAGTGTAAGTGTAGCTCCTGCCAGTGTTGACGTTCTCCTACTTGTTGTTCTCCACAGAAACCTTACATCATCGGTCTCCTGGCCTCGGCCGTCCTCCTGGTCTCCGTGACCGGCATGGCTCTTCCTAGTGGAGGTCAGTAGAGTAGATGGAGGGTGACAGTGTAGGGGTGTAGTGAGGGTGAGAGTGTAGTGGTGTAGTGGGTGTAGTGTGAGGGTGACAGTGTACTGGGTGTAGTGTGAGGGTGACAGTGTAGTGAGTGTAGTGTGAGGGGTGACAGCGTGGTGGTGTGTAGTGTGGGGTGACAGTAGTGAGTGTAGTGTGAGGGGTGACAGTGTAGTGGGGTGGTAGGTGAGGATGACAGTGTAGTGAGTGTAGTGTGAGGGTGACAGTGTAGTGGTGAGGGTGTGGTGGGGTGAGGGTGATGGTGTGTGTGAAGTGAGGGTGACAGTGTGTAGTGTGAGGGTGACAGTGTAGTGGGTGTAGTGAGGGTGACAGTGTAATGGGTGTAGTGTGAGGTGACAGTGTAGTGGGTGTAGTGTGAGGGTGACAGTGTAGTGGGTGTGTGTGAGGGTGACAGTGTAGTGAGGTAGTGAGGGTGACAGTGTAGGTGAAGTGTGAGGGTAACAGTATAGTGGGTGTAGTGTGATGGTGACAGTGTAGTGGGTGTGGTGTGAGGACAGTGTAGTGGTGTAGAGGAGGGTGACAGTGTAGTGAGTGAAGTGTGAGGGTGACAGTGTAGTGGGTGTAGGTGTGAGGGTGACAGTGTAGTGGGTGTAGTGTGAGGGTGACAGTGTAGTGAGGTAGTGTGAGGGTGACAGTGTAGTGAGTGTAGTGTGAGGGGTGATGTGGTGTGAGGGTGACAGTGTAGTGAGTGTAGTGAGGGTGACAGTAGTGAGTGTGTAGTGAGGGTGACAGTGTAGTGGGTGTAGTGTGAGGGGTGACAGTGTAGTGAGTGTAGTGTGAGGGTGACAGTGTAGTGAGTGTAGTGTGAGGGGGTGACAGGCTAGGGTGTAGTGTGAGGGTGACAGTGTAGTGAGTGGTAGTGTGGAGGGTGACAGGTAGTGGGTGTAGTGTGAGGGTGACAGTGTAGTGAGTGTAGTGTGAGGGTGACAGTGTAGTGGGTGAAGTGTGAGGGTGACAGTATAGTGGGTGTAGTGTGGATGGTGACAGTGTAGTGAGTGTAGTGTGAGGGACAGTGTAGTGGGTGTAGTGTGAGGGGTGACAGTGTAGTGAGTGTAGTGAGGGTGACTGTGTAGTGGGTGTAGTGTGGGGTGACAGTAGTGTAGTGTGAGGGTGACAGTGTAGTGTGTAGTGTGAGGGGGACAGGTAGTGGGTGTAGTGTGAGAGTGACAGTGTAGTGAGTGTAGTGTGAGGGTGACAGTGTAGTGGGTGTAGTGAGAGTGACAGCGTAGTGGGGTGTAAGTGTGAGGGTGACAGTGTAGGTGTAGTGTGAGAGTGACAGTGTAGTGGGTGTAGTGATGTGTTAGTCGTCTGATTATTTTTCTTCTTGTTTCTGCAGGCGGTGGCGGATTTGGAGGCGGTGGCGGAGAAGATATGGAGGAATGGAGGCGTGGATTTGGAGGAGGTGGTGATTTGGGGGTGGCGGCGGTGGAGGATTTGGAGGCGGTGGCGGATTCGGAAAGTGGTGGTGGCGGTGGATTTGGAGGAGGTGGTGGTGGAGGATTTGGAGGAGGAGGTGGTGGTGGTGGCGGATTTGGAGGAGGTGGTGGCGGTAGATATGGAGGAGGTGGTGGATTTGGAGGAGGTGGCGGTGGAGGGTTTGGAGGAGGTGGTGGCAGTAGATATGGAGGACGTGGCGGTGGTGGTTTCGGAGGAGGTGGCGGTGGCGGTGGTTTTGGAGGAGGCGGCGGTGGTGTTGGTGGCGGGTATGGAAGTAAGTTTCTTCCGAGAATTTAATTTTTTTACTTCACGTATTCAGACTTACACTAAAAAAAGGAATTCACGTTATAATTTGCATTGACAATAATTCAACTTACATTTATATTGATATTATAATAGTAACAATATTTTAATATAGGATAAAATAATATACAATTGACGTTATAAGAGTTAGAATGTTTTTAATATGGAGAATTGGATAATGACATGATGGTAATATACTGTTTGTTTTATATTTTACATTAATCGAGTATTTTAATTTTTTAATCACTGAACATCAAAGAAAATATTGACACATTATTTGTGTTTATATTACAGGTGTTCGTGGAAGATAAACATTAACAGCTTCATCATCAACCAATAAAGATTGTTTAAAATTATATATACTAGTTGTTTATTGAACCTCAGTTACTGTACGATGTTGTTTATTGAACCTCAGTTACTGTACGATGTTGTTTATTGAACCTCAGTTACTGTACGATGTTGTTTATTGAACCTCAGTTACTGTACGATGTTGTTTATTGAACCTCAGTTACTGTACGATGTTGTTTATTGAACCTCAGTTACTGTACGATGTTGTTTATTGAACCTCAGTTACTGTACGATGTTGTTTATTGAACCTCAGTCACTGTACGATGTTGTTATTGAAATGTAAACAAACAATGGAGACTACTCAGACTACAGTACTGACTTAAGACTCGGCTGTGCAGAATAGTTGAAAGAAAAGGTTACCGCGTCAGTGTAATTGGGTGAAAGTTTTTGTACGTAAAAGTATCTGTATATAATTATAGTTTCGTAAATGCAGGTACTCACTGATAATAAACCTTGATGTTGTCTATAGAAAATTAAAGCTTATCTAGAATGTATATTTACGTGACTACAAATCACTTTTTTTTCTTATTTACATTAAAGTGGAAAAACTTTTAGACCTTCCGGATTTTGCCTGAACATACTTATAAGGACTACAGTAGGCTATATAAGAAAACAAAAAGTTCAGTTGACGATTGAGTATTTACTTATGGGTTGATAGGTTGTTTAAAGTATTTCTCTGCATCAGCAATATGGTCTTAAAGGAAGTATTATTATACACTCGCCAGAAAAAGTTCTCGAATGCCTTTAGGGTCATCATACAATATGACAAAATGAACTAACGACAGATCTGAACATTGATCTCTGAGGAAATTTTATTGACTAAATTACTTCTTTTCACCTGTAAACACGAACAACATATAATATTACGAAATATTGAGTCACTTCTCAACCAGGCATACCAACCATTCCGAGATGACACGAGCCATAGTGCTTTAGTCTGACCTGTTCGAGAACTTTTTGTGGCTAGTGTACCTCCATATGTTTTCTAAATATATTAAAGAATAAGTAAAATGTTTCTTCCTTCTATACAAGGTGGTGAGTGATGTTATATGCTAGATACTGTGTTTCAACAATATATTGTCTAAACGTGCAACCTATATTAGTTCACACTACGCTGGACACCAACACCTGTAAGTGAAATATAACTTTTTTTATAAACTTGTCGTGGTTACATGAACACTATAACCGTTATAGTGTTCATGTAACTAATACTATTGATTTCTTTTTACTTGTATTCGACCTTTAACAACCCTTAAACACACACACACACACACACACAACACTCTACGGGAACTATAATATCATACAAACATGTAATTACTGCATTGTAAAACTTGAGTGAACATCCAAATTATCATGAACAATTAAAATGAAAAGTAAATTCACGGATACCATTCTTACACCATCGAAACATAAACAAACCATGACGTGACGTGAGACCCTCCTAGACACAACTACACGCGCGTCACACTCAGTCATGTTAATATTTATCCCTGAATCAAGAAGAAAGATATATGTGAGATGAATGAGGGAGACGATGTGGACGTAGGGATGTGGTCCTGGTGGGGCTGAGACAAGGTGGTGCGGTAACGATGGGATGTGGTCGTAGTAGGATCTTTGTCATGGGTGTCGTAGAATGAGGTGCCACTGGATCCAGATGTAGGATCAGGTGCCACTGGATCAAGTTTAGGATCAGGTGCCACTGGATCAAGAGTTGTAGGACAAGGTGCCACTGGATCAAGAGTTGTAGGATCAGGTGCCACTGGATCAAGAGTTGTAGGATCAGGTGCCATTGGATCAAGAGTTGTAGGATCAGGTGCCACTGGATCAAGAGATGTAGGATCAGGTGCCACTGGATCAAGAGTTGTAGGATCAGGTGCCACTGGATCAAGACATGTAGGATCAGGTGCCACTGGATCAGAGATGTAGGATCAGGTGCCACTGGATCAAGAGTTGTGGGACTAGGTGCCACTGGATCTAGAGATGTGGGATCAGGTGCCACTGGATCAAGAGCAATGTAGGATCAGGTGCCACTGGATCAAGAGATGTACGATCAGGTGCCACTGGATCAAGAGATGTGGGATCAGGTGCCACTGGATCAAGAGTTGTAGGACTAGGTGCCACTGGATCAAGTTGTAGGATCAGGTGCCACTGGATCAAGACATGTAGGATCAGGTGCCACTGGATCAAGTGCGATCAGGTGCCACTGGATCAAGAGATGTGGGATCAGGTGCCACTGGATCAAGTTGTAGGACTAGTGCCATGGATCAAGAGATGTGGATCAGGTGCCACTGGATCAAGAGTTGTAGGATCAGCTACCACTGGATCAAGAGATGTAGGATCAGGTGCCACGGATCAAGAGATGGAGGATCAGGTGCCACTAGATCAAGAGATGTAGGATCAGGTGCCACTGGATCAAGAGATGTAGGATCAGGTGCCACTGGATCAAAGTTGTAGGATCAGCTACCACTGGATCAAAGTTGTAGGATCAGGTACCACTGGATCAAGAGATGTAGGATCAGGTGCCAATGGATCAAGAGATGTACGATCAGGTGCCACTGGATCAAGACATGTGGGATCAGGTGCCACTGGATCAAGAGTTGTAGGATCAGGTGCCACTGGATCAAGACATGTGGATCAGGTGCCACTGGATCAAGAGTTGTAGGATCAGGTGCCACTGGATCAAGAGATGTACGATCAGGTGCCACTGGATCAAGACATGTAGGATCAGGTGCCACTGGATCAGAGACATGTAGGATCAGGTGCCACTGGATCAAGAGTTGTAGGATCAGGTGCCCTGGATTAAGACATGTAGGATCAGGTGCCACTGGATCAAGATATGGGATCGGGTGCCACTGGATCCAAGAGATGTAGGATCGGTGCCACTGGATCAAGAGATGTAGGATCGGGTGCCACTGGATCAAGAGATTAGGATCAGGTGCCACTGGATCAAGACATGTGGATCAGGTGCCACTGGATCAAGAGATGTTAGGATCAGGTGCCACTGGATCAAGAGATGTAGGATCAGGTGCCACTGGATCAAGTTGTGGACTAGGTGCCACTGGATCAAGAGATGTGGATCAGTGCCACTGGATCAAGAGTTGTGGGATCAGCTGCCACTGGATCAAGAGATGTTAGGATCAGGTGCCACTGGATCAGAGAGATGGAGATCAGGTGCCACTAGATCAAGAGATGTAGGATCAGGTGCCACTGGATCAAGAGATGTAGGATCAGGTGCCACTGGATCAAGAGTTGTAGGATCAGCTACCACTGGATCAAAAGTTGTAGGATCAGGTCACTGGATCAAGAGATGTAGGATCAGGTGCCAATGGATCAAGAGATGTAGGATCAGGTGCCACTGGATCAAGACATGTAGGATCAGGTGCCACTGGATCAAGAGTTGTAGGATCAGGTGCCACTGGATCAAGACATGGTTGGGATCAGGTGCCACTGGATCAAGAGTTGTAGGATCAGGTGCCACTGGATCAGAGATGTACGATCGGTGCCACTGGATCAAGACATGTAGGATCAGGTGCCACTGGATCAAGAGATGTAGGATCAGGTGCCACTGGATCAAGTTGTAGGATCAGGTGCCACTGGATAAGACATGTAGGATCAGGTGCCACTGGATCAAGAGATGTAGGATCGGGTGCCACTGGATCAAGAGATGTAGGATCAGGGTGCCACTGGATCAAGAGATGTAGGATCAGGTGCCACTGGATCAAGATGTAGGATCAGGTGCCACTGGATCAAGTTGTAGGATCAGCTACCACTGGATCAAAAGTTGTAGGATCAGGTGCCACTGGATCAAGAGATGTAGGATCAGGTGCCAATGGATCAAGAGATGTGCGATCAGGTGCCACTGGATCAAGACATGTAGGATGCCAGATCACATGTGGATCGGTGCACTGGATCAAGAGTTGTAGGATCAGGTGCCACTGGATCAAGACATGTAGGATCAGGTGCCACTGGATCAAGTTGTAGGATCAGGTGCCACTGGATCAAGAGATGTACGATCAGGTGCCACTGGATCAAGACGATGTAGAGGATCAGGTGCCACTGGATCAAACATGTAGGATCAGGTGCCACTGGATCAAGAGTTGTAGGATCAGGTGCCACTGGATCAAGAAATGTGGGATCAGGTGCCACTGGATCAAGAGTTGTAGGATCAGGTGCCACTGGATTAAGACATGTAGGATCAGGTGCCACTGGATCAAAGATGTGGGATCAGGTGCCACTGGATCAGAGATGTAGGATCAGGTGCCACTGGATCAAGAGATGTAGGATCGGGTGCCACTGGATCAAGAGATGTAGGATCAGGTGCCACTGGATCAAGGTTGTAGGATCAGCTACCACTGGATCAAAGTTGTAGGATCAGGTACCACTGGATCAAGAGATGTAGGATCAGGTGCCAATGGATCAAGAGATGTAGGATCAGGTGCCACTGGATCAAGACATGTGGATCAGGTGCCACTGGATCAAGAGTTGTAGGATCAGGTGCCACTGGATCGAACATGTAGGATCAGGTGCCACTGGATCAAGTTGTAGGATCAGGTGCCTGGATCAAGACATGTAGGATCAGGTGCCACTGGATCAAAAGATGTAGGATCAGGTGCCACTGGATCAAGAGATGTAAGGATCAGGTGCCACTGGATCAAGAGATGTAGGATCAGGTGCCAATGGATCAAGACATGGGATCAGGTGCCAATGGATCAAAGATGTAGGATCAGGTGCCACTGGATCAAGAGATGTAGGATCAGGTCTTACTGGATCAAGGTTGTAGGATCAGGTGCCAATGGATCAAGACATGTAGGATCAGGTGCCAATGGATCAAGAGATGTACGATCAGGTGCCACTGGATCAAGACATGTGGGATTAGGTGCCAATGGATCAAGAGTTGGAGGATCAGGTGCCACTGGATCAAGACATGTGGATCAGGTGCCACTGGATCAAGAGTTGTAGGATCAGGTGCCACTGGATCAAGAGATGTACGATCAGGTGCCACTGGATCAAGACATGTAGGATCAGGTGCCACTGGATCAAGACATGTAGGATCAGGTGCCACTGGATCAGAGTTGTAGGATCAGGTGCCACTGGATCAAGACATGTAGGATCAGGTGCCACTGGATCAAAAGATGTAGGATCAGGTGCCACTGGATCAAGAGATGTAGGATCGGTGCCACTGGATCAAGAGATGTAGGATCAGGTGCCACTGGATCAAGAGATGT